AATGAAATTAAATTTCAGTCTCTCCTCTTTATAAAATTACAAAACTAATGGGCTATAAATATACCATGATACTTTTAGATTAAAGGTTCACAATCTTCATTCTTTAATGCATATATATTTTCAGAGCATTATTTTTTAAAATATTATTATATATATTTTTTTAAAATATTTATTTAAGTATCTAAGAGTCACCACCTCTATTAAAAAGAACTTTATATAGATATCAACCATAAACCATCTTGATTTATCAAATATCAAATATAAAATATCAATCATCTTGATTAAAATAAAATAAAAATTGCTAGACTCAATTAATAAATAATTATTCAACTCAAGAAGCTTTGTTACTAAACCAATTGTATTTTTGGGACTTTGTCATTTTTCTAGCTTTACTTGTACTTATGAGAGATATGTCATCCACACTTTACTTTTAAGTTGGTTAAATCAATTACATCAAGAAATCTTATATATATAGTTTAAATTTAAATATAAATTAGAATAAAATCAGATTAAATAATTTTAAAATTAAGTCGCTAAATTAAATGAGCATGTAAACTTGCTTGTCTTAAAAAAAAAAAAAAAACACGCAGAAACTCTTGAGACGCCTCTCTGCTGAAAGAAAAAGATAAGGAAGGAAATTTGAGATCTTGACTTGACATATGTAATCATCCGACAGCACGTGCAGTGCCCCATCTTATGTGGCAAGATCTGAGGTCTCTGCCACCTCTCTTCCCATGTAACCCCAAATCATACCTTTCGAAACCCCCCCTTTTCCTTTAACAACCAGGCAACATCAATTCAGAAGCTTCACTGATTGAATTATTTATTTATATTTTCTCTTTTTCATTCACTAAGAAATGGAATAAAAAGATTTTTTTTTTTTTTGTTCCTAAGAATAATAGCAAAATAAAAAGATTTTTTTTTTTTTTGTTCCGAAGAATAATAGCAACTCAACTCTCGTTCCTTCCTGCAAGTCTGCAACGCTTTTCTTCTCTCTGTAGCCTCTATTGTTCTGTTTCCCACTTCTTCCTTTTCTATTTCTGCCATTTCTCCAGCGATAACAACACTATTCTTTTTAATTTTGATTCATCTATGAACACATAAAGATTTAACAAAAAGCTTTCTTTCTTTGAGAAACTGAGGATGCCACAGGAATCCTCGTCCGAGCCAGACCCGGATGATTCTGATGCTGAGTTCGTAGAGATTGATCCCACTGGTCGTTATGGTCGCGTATGTGTTGTGTTCCCTTTTTTTATTTTATTCATGTAATTGGAAATATATGATATTGTTTGCCCTGCCTCTTTCTCAGGTCACTGTTATGGTGATTTTATTAGTTGCTTTGTTGTTAATGGGGTTCTTTTATTTTTCTTCTTTGTCTTTCTTGCAGTATAAAGAGATATTAGGCAGGGGTGCTTTCAAGAAAGTGTATCCTTTTCTTTTTTGTACAATTTTTTCACTTTACAATGGAAGTTACTGTATGCACTGTTTCTTTTGTGTTTGTGTGTGTGAGTGAGATGCAAGTAAGGACTAATGAGTGTGTAATTCTATATGGTTTTGTCCTTGATTGAATCATGGGGGTTTAGATATAGAGCATTTGATGAATTTGAAGGAATAGAAGTAGCTTGGAATCAAGTTAAAGTGGCAGATCTATTACGTAATTCTGTGGATTTGGAGCGTTTATATTCTGAAGTTCATTTGCTTAATACTTTGAAGCATAAAAACATTATCAAGTTTTACAATTCGTGGATCGATACCAAAAATGAGAATATCAACTTCATCACTGAGATTTTCACTTCTGGGACATTGCGGCAGTAAGTCTATGAATTCTACTAATTAAAAATTTCTTGTTTTTTGGATCTTAGTTTGATTGTGCTCTTGGTTGACTAGAAGAGCTCATTTACTTGCGTTGTAGATATCGGCAGAAGCATAAGCGTGTAGGCCTAAGAGCATTGAAGAAATGGTCTAGGCAGATCTTAGAGGGACTTTTGTATCTTCATAGTCATGATCCACCAGTTATCCACAGAGATTTAAAATGTGACAACATCTTTGTTAATGGAAACCAAGGTGAAGTGAAAATTGGTGACTTGGGTTTGGCTGCCATTCTTCAGCAAGCTCGGTCAGCTCATAGTGTTATTGGTGAGGGCTACTTTCTTGTGATTTTCATGTTTTTTGTTTTTATTTTGGACATGGAAGGTGTTCCGGAGGTTTTTGTTATCTGTTGGCATTGATAACAAAATTGTTAGTGCGGAATTAGGTACACCAGAGTTTATGGCACCAGAGCTTTATGAGGAGGAGTATAATGAGCTTGTTGACATTTATGCCTTTGGCATGTGCTTGCTAGAGTTGGTGACTGTTGAATATCCATATGTGGAATGCACCAATGCTGCTCAAATATATAAGAAAGTGACATCAGTAAGGGATTTGGAATCCTTGCCCAAATTTAAATTTATTGAACAAACTACTTCTGCAATTTATATTCCTGTTATTTGTCTTATGTCGTAGAGTAGACTATTTTCAACACCATTCAAAAGAACAAAAGAAAAAAGCAAATTTTAATGCAGTTCTTCCTTTGTAGTTTAATATGTTGCTGCATCTTTAACTTTTAAACGCTGTGCAGTCCTGGTAGTTCAGTTTGTTAGACTATTGGAAATTGATTTTCTTTATTCTTGCAGAAAGTTGTCACTGTTACCTGGTTTAATCTCTCTTCTCTCTCTCCTTCCAGTACTGGCTACAATTCATTGGACATCACATGTTTAATCTCTCTTCTCTCTCTCCTTCCATTGGACATTATATGATTTTCTTTATTCTTTACTGGCTACAATTCATTGGACATCACATTTTGTTCAATCTTGATTTTATATGTATGTTGTAAAGTTAAAACCCTGTATTAATCTTGTGGAGTCTTCTCAAGAGACTTTATTGTTCTCATGATAGTTTATGATATGAGCATCAATTCACTTATTGGTGAAAGAATGTGACACTAACATGATGTTCATCTTCCTAGGACGTGATTGCTTTTCGTTTCTATAGTTACTGCATGACATATTATCGTAGATATCATTGAACCCCAATATACTTGAATATGGTGTTGTCATGCATATGTTGTGTTTCTCCTTCACATATGCTGACATTAACTCAGATGTCTTCAGTAGGACAGTTGGAATTTGTAGAGTAGAAGCTTGCGTACTTTTTTGCAGAGCATACCTCTAATAACAGCAGCAACCTAGTTTTCAATGACTTTAGAACAATTTCTGCTACATAGGGTTTTGATGAATGGAGAAAGGGTAGCTAATCCTCTTGTTATGTTCCCGTGCTTTTGTTATCAGATTAGATCAGATCAGACAATGGGGCTTTTAGGCCTCCATGCGTTGATTAATGTCACCTCTCCTTGCTAAGTCTTTTCTGAATCAAAGCGTGTCCAGCCACCCTGCTAACATCCCAATTCATGCACAGCCAGTGGCTCCTAGCATGCTATTGTATTTTTCTTTGTGTTTTACTTCATGTTTCTAAGTTGTCATCATGGTTTTTCTTTTTCTTGAAAGGGAATTAAACCAGCATCATTAGCGAAGGTGAAAGATCCTGCTGTGAAAGCATTTATAGAAAAATGTATTGCAAAGGTCTCTGATCGATTGCCGGCAAAGGAACTTTTGATGGATCCCTTTCTTCAATCAGATGAGGAAAATGGAAGTGTTGGTCACTCTTTACGACCGAAAGCCCATTCTTCAGGTAAACTTAAATAGCTTCCAAATTCTTTGGTGTTCAAATGCTTTTACACTCTGTTTGGTAAAAGAAGTAATCATGGATAGGAAAAATGAGAGACAAAGGAATAGAATCCTTTTCTTTTTGTTTATCTATGACAAACAACGAGAAAAATATTTAAGTGCTTAAATCCTCAACAATTTGGCAAAAAACACACAATTCATAACTAGAACAAAGCTTCCCTCAACTTTGTTTCTTTTTTTTTTCTCCCACATTATCAACCAAATTAGAGGAACATGATTCCTTTCAAATTTTCCCCTCACTTGTTTGTAAGACAACCACATCATTAGTATTTTTGGCTCTGACACCTTGCTCGAACTGCAGGTGGTAGTTCTGATCAGATTGATGTTAATGAAATTGCTAAGGATTCTTCTGCTGAACCAAGCAGAGATTTCACTGTGCAAGGTCAGAGGAAAGACAGTAATACAATATTTTTGAAACTAAGGATAGCTGATTCCACAGGTTCTCTCTCTCTCTCTACACACACACACACACACTAGAGGTCTTGTCCATCAGCATCCACAAATGATCCTAATTGAATGTTGTCTTCATGCTTCCAGGTCATATCCGCAATATCCACTTCCCATTTGATGTTGAGGTAGATACAGCAATTGCAGTTGCTAGCGAAATGGTGGACCAGTTGGATCTGACTGATCAAGATGTTTCAACAATTGCTGCTATGATTGATTCAGAAATTCGGTCCCATATTCCTGGTTGGGCTTCCCACAATGTTTCACCAGAAAATTTAGTTGCAGAGGACTCAGAACCTCCTTTTGAAACTAGGGATGACAGTTCACCTTTGTCAAATGAATCCATTACCTCTCCTGGCAGTCTTGTATTGGAAAGATTGCCTTCAGGTCGTAAGTATTGGTCCGACTCACCCAAGGATGTTGATGGAAACTCTCCAAGCAAGCTTGGACGTTCAAACTTGTCTTGTCATGAGCCTTCTCTAAGTTGTCCAAATGCTGCTCAGTCAAATGGACAGTTGGAGGCTGAGAGCATGTCCGATGATGATGATAACTGTGCAAAACATGGAAGTAACAGATCTGATGATTTGCAGTATGGTAATAGAAACAGCACATCTGTCAAGATCATTGCCGAGAAACTTGATAAACTTCTGGTAATGCAGCAACAAGAGCTAGAGGAACTAAAGAGGAAGCACAGAGTAGCCATATTAGACCTTCTGAATGAAGTGTCTCCAGAAATTCGTCTGGATGTTTTAAATATATGTAAACTGAAAATACCTGTTCATGAAATGCCGTGATTCAGTGCGTGCTTTGTTAGAGATATGGGCTACCCTATAGAATTTGAAGTGCATTCCATTGTACATCTTCAGCTTGACAATGGATGGCGAGTTGGTAATTAAACATACTCTAGAAGGTTTCCTACCAGTCGAATGGATCAAAACATCATCGAGTGCTCAGATCTTTATTACAGAAGACCTGCTGCTTGACATGCCTCGAAAGGCAATGCCTGTGATATCGAGTCATGAGAGACGATAGAGCAGAATCACAGCATGAAAATATAGGTGATGATCAACTCCACATGTGCACTTGCAGCACAATATCTGACATTAATCTCTTAATTGAGCTGCAGGGAGGAGGCAAGGTCTAGCAAGTCATGTATTTTTGTAAAAATTCCTACTTCACCCCAACTCCACGGCTTTATATACTTGTGCATATGTTTCAGTTGATTGAATTACGCCAAAGTCTTGCTGGTTCACAATTTGTTGTTGGGGTGATGGCGTTCGCTTTTTCTCATCAAACTCGTTGAGCTATTTAATGCTATGAAGGGTGTGGATTGAAGCACTGTTTTGCCATTTGTGCCTTAATTTATTTGTTGGTTCTTTTGTGTTTTATCATTCTAGTGAATAAAGTTTGGGGGGCAACACTATAAAATCTAGAAGATTGTTTCTTTTTTATCGTGGTATTTCTCATGTCCAGGATACTTCTATTCAGCTGATCAGAACAGAGATGTCAAGTGATTCTTTCTGGCAGATGACTCTTCCATGTTAGCAATCTTCAGGAAAAAGATAGCTAGCGATGGTTGTATCATGAGATCCAGATTTGAGCTATAGGCTTCCAGCCAATGTTAAAAAAACAAGTTGATTTTTAAAATTTTATGATTTTATAAGTTAATATATATTTATTGTGTTAAATCAGATTAAAATTTAAAAATTAATAAAATCAGTTAACCTTAGTTAAACTTGTTTAAATTTAATAAAATCAGTAAAATCAAACTGATTTTACAAATTTAAAAAAATATATAAAATTTTACATTCTAATATGTACTTTAATTTTTAATTTTTTTATTGTTTTAAATTTATATCTTGCAAAAACTTGTGTAATTTGATATCAAAAACTTAATTTTTACTATAATTATTATAATTTTTTTAATGATACAAGTTATTTGTAAATTTTATTTTTATAAACTTAAAATACCTATTCATTCTTCACAACTTCTTATGTAAATTATTAACATATTAATTGATATATTACTCTGTTTTAGCTAGCAAATATATAGAATAAAAGTTGTAAATTGACATGCTTAAACCTTAAAATAATTAATATTAAATAATTTATTAAAATTTAAAGAAACTCATTTATTGTAAATAATGAAGTCAATAAGTCTATTTATCTAAAAAATAAAGGAATCAAATATGGATTAAAAAAAATTAGACTTTTCTATTGTTTATTTTATTTTATTTTAATTGTATTATATTGTTAATTAAATTATTAGAATATAATTAATTAAAATATTTTACTTTTAATTTTATAAGTTAAATTTATATTATATATTCTGTCATGTCAATTAAAATATTTTACTTATAATTTTATAACTTAAATTTATATTATATATTCTGTCATGTTAAAAAAAAATATTTTTGTGAACCTTGCTTCGAGCTGCCTTTTCCAGATTGAAAAACAAATTTAGGCATTCCTCAGTTAACTTACAAACGTGTTGCAACATGCTGAGATCTTGATACCCGGCAGCACCATTTTGCTTGCATTTTACTTGACACCTAGCAAATCTGGAAAGGAAGCATTGATATCATTGCATCTATAATACGGTGGATCAGAAGTTGGTCTCCCTCGATGCTTTCTGGCTGCACCGTGCCTGATATCTCCTCTTCAGGACATCTTGAGAGAGAGCCAAATAAGGAGCCGAAAGAAAGAAAAGAAAAACTAATTTTTTAGCTTTTCTTCCCTGATTTTGCAGTTCAAAAGGATAGCAGAGTAAGAGGCTAAAATGACTTTCCTGTAAAAAAGAAAGCTATTCCAACATATCCATCAAATAAATCAAAAGCATTCAAATAAATTATTTAAATAGTTTTTCTTTCATCTCTACAACCTTTCCGCTAAATGGCTTTTGCTAATGGAGAAGCTTTTACAGATAGCTTAACTTCGCGTCGAATCAATGGCGTTTGAAGCAGAGAATATAACAAATATGAAGTTGACGTGCCTCATGTGTTTGTATATTATCCGGTGTTTTGTGTTACGACTAGATGTTTGTTTCTAACTGGCCATTATTAGATATAACCTTGATATGCAATGAAGATTTCATAGCATATACATCAACCACTCCAGAGACATTTCCCCAAGAACTACCTTGCCTTCGGCTTCCGAAGTTAATGTACTAACGCTATGGGAAAAAATAACTGAAACAACTGATTATGCCTCGATTTCTTTCACAACTCAAGACATCAGCTCACTAATAACAAGATTCAAGGCAGATCCATGCTTATGTCAAAATAGAAAAGGAACAAAGATTCTCTCCCTGATAAACCCTTCCGTCAGGAAATGTAATGGCATGCTTATAAGCTTATTGGTAAATATTCTTTCAAGGATTCTGGGCGAGTGCCATTTTCTGCAAAGAATTATGGGCAAGCAGGACGGAAAACAGAACCACAAGCTTTGGAAACAGTACTTCCAGTAACAAGAACCATCAATCGCATTCATTTTTCTCAGCAAGATTCAACGGGATGCAGAACATAGAGCTGATACGAAATACAACAATATAAAGAAGAAAACTAGAACCACAAGAGAATAGGGACGATCCCTCATTTAGGCATCTTCTCATAATCTCACCATTTCTCTCTAAGTCTACCCGTTCAAATAACCCATTGCGTTCTATAAAGTGCAAAAGATAATCAAAATGCGCAAAGATTGCCTATTTCCACATTATTGGACGGAAAACAGAACCACAAGCTTTGGAAAAAGTACTTCCAGTAACAAGAACCATCAATCGCAATCATTTTTCTCAGCAAGATTCAACGGGATGCAGAAAATAGAGCTGATACGAAATACAACAATATAAAGAAGAAAACTAGAACCACAAGAGAATAGGGACGATCCCTCATTTAGGCATCTTCTCATAATCTCACCATTTCTCTCTAAGTCTACCCGTTCAAATAACCCATTGCGTTCTATAAAGTGCAAAAGATAATCAAAATGCGCAAAGATTGCCTATTTCCACATTATTTCAATCAAAATCCATTGGCTTCCCACACTAACCAAGCAGACCATCATCATTAATTCTTAATTCTAAATCATTTTTCAAGAACAGAAAACAAACAAATACCATATCACGACAACAAACTAGCAAACCCCACAACAAAATTCTGAAGCAACATTTTTAATGAAAAGAAGATCAAATCATCTATAATTAACAAAAAGGGCAGATGCTCCAAATCGTCTGACAGTTAATATCAACTACTAAAAGCAAGCTGTAGTAACATTGTCATAATTAGAAAGGGAAAACAGCAATGTTTCTTCATCTAAAAGCCGATAAATGTTTCTTCATCTTCTCATTCTCTCAAGCTTTACTTCTCAGAGGAGTTGGGCCCTCTCTTCTTGCCAAATCCCACAACTGTAATTATAATAAATTCATTATTTTTTGGTTCTGCTACCGGAACAAGAACCTGCAGTTAAATGAAAAAATGGGAAAGATAGATTACCTGCTGTAACGAAACGACGGTTGTATTGCATCCTCTTGTGGGCACGGCCACGGGGCTTCTTTTTCTTGTCCTGCTTTGCCACTTTGGGAGTTTGGCCTCTCACCTTACCAGCACGAGCTAGAGAACCATGAACTTTACCTGCAAGTCAGACCCAATGTTAAGAGGGGATAAGATGAAGAAACACATTAAGCAACATCTCACAGAGATGATCAAGATCTAGGGGTTTACCCATGACTGCTGCTGCTGTTTCCCTTCTATGCGGCGAGAAGATGGCTCGACTTCAAGGAGCAGCTAGGGTTTTATCTTCGCAGCCAAACTCTTCTGTTCATTTACATTAATAAATGGGATTGGTCCGTTCAATGGAAATTGGTTCGAACTGGGCTTTGTCTCCGGGCCATCTGTGTTAGGGACTGAAAAACTATTTTATTATTATTTCTTTTATGTTTACATGATTTTCAGTAATTGAATTTTATCATTTTTTGTGGTGCAATAATTAATCTTTGACATAAAAATATTAAAAATTATTTTTTCCAAAAATAAAAATATTTTCTTAATATAAACTCTCAAATAAGAGCCTAAATGTATATAATGTATACTAATTAAAAGAAAATGAAAGCACAAAAATATCATCAAATAAAAAGAATAATAAAAAACAAGAAAGCATAAACCCTAATTCCACCAAGCACGAGTAAGGAAGTTACGGGTATTTATCATGAGAGAGAACTAATCCATGAATTAGTTTTAAATTATTTTATCAGCAAATTCATTGAATTTCGCTTTCTGAAATTCATTATTGTTTTTCTCTAATTAAAATTAATTTTAAGCAGCATTTGATAAATAGAAGGGACATAAAAATTGGTGCTTTGTTATAAAATCATACATTATATATGGATGTCTAGGTATCTTCCTATATCTTTTTATTATTATGTTCATTCATCATTATCAAGTTCATTTGAATCCCTCCAAATTTATTTGAATTTACATCTTTTTTTTTTTGAGTTTACAAATATTAATATACATGTGCCTATAAATAGGAGTATTTTTAAAACAATATTATACACACATATAATTATAAATTCATATGAAATAAAAGTGTTCTCTCTTCATCCCTAAAAATCTTTATTGTTCTTATATATTCTATTCACACTTTATTAAATATATTGTTTTATTATTTTATGCTTCTTGATACATAGTTTTACAACACATTATCATCAGCATGAATTGCTCCTCGCATTCATCTTGAAGCAGACAATCATATTTGATAAGAACTAGAAGTATAAATTTCTCTTTGACTTCGTCTTGAAGCAAATAATCATATTTGGTTTGTTGATAAGAAGTAAAATATATATTTTTTCTATTGTTGTTGTATGTTCTATATTTTATATTGAGATCAAGTATATAGGATGGAAAACTATGATAAAATCTTAAGATTATTCTTAGGTGTAACAACGTCACGTATTGATCTTCATTTTATATTTATATTCTTATAAATATTTTATGTGTTTTAAAATCTATCTTTACATTCCAATATATATATATATATAACTAAATTTCCAACAATATTGATATTTTTTTATGAAGTAACAATGACAAACCTTGTCAAACTTGATTTCGTGGCATAAATGGTTGTAATTCATCAAATTCTTACAAATCCTCACAGAATGAGGAGAAACAAGAAAGGGGGAAGAATATATATAGTGGAGATACTAAAAAGGTAGAAAATATCTATTATCGATGTGGAATGAAAGGATATCAGTCTTGTACCTGTCGTACGACCAAACATCTTATTAATTTATATTAGTCCTCATTGAAAGGAAAAGAGAAGAACATCAAGGTAATGATAATATTTATTATTTGGATATGACACACCTTGGCGCTGCAAATTTTTTAGAGCAAATTGATGAGAAAGTTAGTATTTCTCATAATGATAATAATTAGTTAATATAACAATGTCAGAATTTCAAATTATGTTTATCTTTTCAATGTGTTTCCTTTATAGTATATTTCAATGTATTTTGTTTTCTTCCTTTGATGTTGGCTTATTTAATGGAAAATATTGTGTTATAATAATTATTTCTTATTATTTCTTATTATATATTTATTTCTTTTCATGAAGAAACTAT